ACAGACACACACACATACAGACACACGCATACACACAGATACAGACACACACACATACACAGACAAACAGATACACACAGACACATGCTGTTGCCGTGGGAACGAGCCGCAGACGTTGGGATGGCCTCATGCAAAAGAGAACATTTGTTTGTGGTAGAAAACAATCTGAGGAATGATGAAGGTGTGTGTGTGTGTGTGTGTGTGTGTGTGTGTGTGTGTGTGTGTGTGTGTGTTAGTCACACAGCGACACAAACAAACTATAGGCGACTGTATGATGGACTTTAAAAACACAGAGGAGCTCTTACAGCAAACAAAGTCCAGAGTCCAGGTTTATGTGATCGTCAGGTGACAGCTCATCTTTAAAGTGACAGTAAAAAGTGACAGTGTGTAACTTTATGGAGGCTGAAGGTCGACTGTGTGACTCCACGGATACAGATCAGTTTTATGTCACACTGTGGAATATTTTTATGGCCAAAGGGACGACATTTCCATAAAAACAAACAGGAAGAGGCCAAAAGAGTCAGAGGTTTGATGTTTGCCCACAGGGAGGACGAGCTTTTATAAACATCCAGACTGAAAAAGTTACGTACAAAGAGTTTAAGCAAATCATGTCCCTTCATAATATTATTTCAGTAAAAGTAAAGCCTCTTTAAAAATCACTCATTTATACATAGAATATTATTATTATAATCGAGAGGAGTGTGCAAAAATATCAAAATATCAATATATCATATTGTTTAATGTGATGATACAGTCTAAACCAAGACTAAACTAAGACCAAACAAGGACTAAACCAGGTCTAAACCAGGACTACATCAGGTCTAAACCAGGACTAAACTAAGACTAAACCAGGACTACATAAGGTCTAAACCAGGAATAAACTAGTTCTAAACAAGGACTAAACCAGGTCTAAACTAGAGCTAAACAAGGACTAAACCAGGTCTAAACCAGGACTAAACCAGGTCTAAACTAGAGCTAAACAAGGACTAAACTAGGTCTAAACGAGAACTAAACCAGGTCTAAACTAGGGCTAAACAAGGACTAAACCAGGACTAAACCAGGTCTAAATTAGGGCTAAACAAGGCCTAAACCAGGACTACATCAGGTCTAAACCAGGAATAAACTAGTTCTAAACAAGGACTAAACCAGGTCTAAACTAGGTCTAAACTAGGGCTAAACAAGGACTAAACCAGGTCTAATCCAGGACTAAACCAGGTCTAAACTAGAGCTAAACAAGGACTAAACCAGGTCTAAACCAGGTCTAAAACTAGGGCTAAACAAGGACTAAACCAGGACTAAACCAGGTCTAAATTAGGGCTAAACAAGGCCTAAACCAGGACTAAACCAGGTCTAAACCAGGACTAAACTAAGACTAAACCAGGTCTAAACCAGGACTAAACCAGGACTACATCAGGTCTAAACCAGGAATAAACTAGTTCTAAACAAGGACTAAACCAGGTCTAAACTAGGGCTAAACAAGGACTAAACCAGGACTAAACCAGGTCTAAACTAGGGCTAAACAAGGACTAAACCAGGTCTAATCCAGGACTAAACCAGGTCTAAACTAGAGCTAAACAAGGACTAAACCAGGTCTAAACCAGGACTAAACCAGGTCTAAACTAGGGCTAAACAAGGCCTAAACCAGGACTAAACCAGGTCTAAACCAGAACTAAACCAGGTCTAAACTAGGTCTAAACTAGGTCTAAACCAGGACTAAACCAGGTCTAAACCAGAACTAAACCAGGTCTAAACTAGGTCTAAACCAGGACTAAAGCAGGTCTAAACTAGGTCTAAACCAGGACTAAAGCAGATCTAAACTAGGTCTAAATCATTGTCATTTTACTTGTGTTATATTTTTACCGTATCGAGATATGCATCGTATCGTGGCCCACGTATCGAGGTATGTATCGGCATCGGCCACTTCTTTAATGACACCCAGCCCCGATTAATGAATAGGCCATTATTCTACTTTGTTTTGACTTCGTCTCTGTATTTGTTACGTAACAAAAAAAAAGTATGCACATTGTGAACACTGGAAACAGGGAGTGCACGTAAAAGAAACGCGTCTTGTGATGTTGACTCATTTCGCCCGCGTTACAACAACAACGACGGGAGGTTACAGCGCACAATACGAGCCATTATGCGAACACGCCAGCACTTTGAACTCTATTATGTCTTTTCTGCTTTTATTCGTGCGCGCCGAAACAATTTTATCCCGTAAAAGTCACTTCGCCGCGGCCGCCTCGACGTCACCGTTTGGTTCTTTCAAAATCGCGTCAACCCGACCACAAACCCCGCCCCCCGTCGCGTCCTCACACCCCATTGGCTCAAACCCACGCTCGTCACTCCTCCTCTCCCCGATCCCGCGTTCCGATTGGCTCCTCCCCCCCCGCAAGCCCCGCCCTCTTCCCTCAGCCACGGCGAGCCTCGGAGCAGGTAGTGTTGTCGCTCCGAATCTGTCACGGAAAAAAAAAGGATGTTTTAGCTGGATCTACCAAACGTAAGCTTTTATTCTTTTAATATCTGACTCCTGCTTTTATCGGCTTCACGTTTTTGCATTTCTGTGGCTGGATTTGGGGTGAAACTTTGCGTAAAGCGGCGTAGTTTGGCGCACGTCGCTCCTCGTTCTCGTGTCAAGTCAAATTTGGTTTTCGATAGAATTGTTAATGGGTTTCCTCGTGTCGCTTTTAATGGCGGATCGTTTGTTTGTTTGTTTATTTATTTATTTTTGTGTGTGTTTTGTTTACATTTTTGAGCTCGATCGTAGCGAGTTGACGATGGGAGTTGGACGTTTTTTTTTTTTTTTGCTGACAACTTTGAATCGCTTCACAGGGAGCGGAGGGCAACGGAACTTGTTTATTTGGTTCTTATTAAAGTCAATTATAAAAACAGGACTAAACTAGGACTAAAACAGGACTAAACCTGGACTAAACAAGGGCTAAACCAGGACTAGTTCAGGTCTAAACCAGGTCTATATCAGGACTGTATCAGGACTATGGTCACATTTTTAAACCACGTCTAAACAAGGTCTAAACCAGAACCAAACCAGGACTAAACCAGGACTAAATCAGGACTAAAACAGGACTAAACTAGGTCTAAACTAGGTCTAAACTAGGTCTAAACTTGGGCTAAACCAGGACTAAACCAGGACTCACCCAGGACTAAGCCAAGACTCTACCAGGACTAAAATAGAACTATATCAGGTCTAAACCAGGTCTAACCCAGAATTAAACCAGGACTAACCCAGGATTAACCCAGGACTAACCCAGGTCTAACCCAGGACTAACCCAGGACTAATGCAGGACTAACCCAGGACAGACCCAGGACTAACCCAGGACTAAACCAGGACTACACCAGTACAAACCCAGGACTAACCCAGGTCTAACCCAGGACTAACCCAGGACTGACCCAGGACTACAGGACTAAACCAGGACTAAACCAGGACTAAACCAGGACTAACCCAGGACTCACCCAGGACTAACTCAGGACTAAGCCAAGACTAAACCAGGACTAAAATAGAACTATATCAGGTCTAAACCAGGTCTAACCCAGGATTAAACCAGGACTAACCCAGGTCTAACCCAGGAATAACCCAGGACTAATGCAGGACTGACCAGGACTGACCCAGGACTAACCCAGGACTAACCCAGGACTAACCCAGGACTACCAGGACTGACCCAGGACTAACCAGGACTAAACCAGAACTAACCCAGGTCTAACCCAGGACTAACCCAGGACTAACCCAGGACTGACCCAGGACTGACCCAGGACTAAACCAGGACTAACCCAGGACTAACCAGGACTAAACCAGTACTAACCCAGGACTAACGCAGGACTGACCCAGGACTAACCCAGGACTGACCCAGGACTACACCAGGACTAAACCAGTACTAACCCAGGACTAACGCAGGACTAACCAGGACTAACCCTGGACTGACCCAGGACTACACCAGGACTAAACCAGGACTAAACCAGGTCTAAACCAGAGAAGTATAAATGACATGAGTTTAAATCCATCAGTCTGTTTCTGTCTTTAGTCTCAGATTAAACACGTGACTCCAGGATGAAGAAGAAGAATAACAACGCTTCACGCTTTTTTCACATTTTTATTTATACCCAACATCCAAACTCGAGTGTGTCCCAGATTTTAATTTAGAAAATCTGCTCACCCTGGTTTAGTTTCATTCACACATTAGAAAAATAAATAAATAAATAAAAGAAAACTCGTCAAATAAAATGATCTCGCTGCATTTTAAGTCATTTTCTGATCAATTTAAGTGTTTAAATCTCACACACGAGTTGATTTTTTTGCACAAACTTTCCGATTTTTTCCCGGTTGGGGTCCGCCACCTGTTTGTTTCCATGGAGACCGTGTTATCCGTGTTATCCGTGTGATCGTGTTCCCCGGGAATGTGGCTCAGGATGGTTTTACATTTCGCCGTCCGCCTGGAAACTCGGGAGGCGGTGTCACGTAGCAGAGTTACAGGTCAGATCTGGGAAGAGGCGAGTCGGCTGACAGAGAGAACGCAGGTTTTTGAAAGAAGAAAAGCTGGGTTTGTGGAACATTCCATGGAAACAAGCAGGTGGGAAAGTGACAGAGTGCAGCTTTTAAAACTGTTTAATTATAACGTGTTTGTTTGGAGTTTGGAGTTTGTTGTTATTTTGTGGTTTAGATCTGGTTTAGTCTGGACTTTATTTCCTTTGCCTGGGGTAGTCCTGGTTTAGTCCTGGTTTAGACTGGTTTAGTCCTGGTTTAGTCCTGGTTTAGACTTGGTTTAGTCCTGGTTTAGACTTGGTTTAGACCTGGTTTAGACCTGGTTTAGACCTGGTTTAGTCCTGGTTTAGTTGGTTTAGTCCTGGTTTAGACCTGGTTTAGACCTGGTTTAGACCTGGTTTAGACCTGGTTTAGACCTGGTTTAGTCCTGGTTTAGTCCTGGTTTAGACCTGGTTTAGACCTGGTTTTAGTCCTGGTTTAGTCCTGGTTTAGACCTAGTTTAGACCTGGTTTAGTCCTGGTTTAGACCTGGTTTAGACCTAGTTTAGACTTGGTTTAGTCCTGGTTTAGACCTGGTTTAGACCTGGTTTAGTCCTGGTTTAGACCTGGTTTAGACCTAGTTTAGACCTGGTTTAGACCTGGTTTAGTCCTGGGTTTAGTCCTGGTTTAGTCCTGGTTTAGACCTGGTTTAGTCCTGGTTTAGACCTGGTTTAGACCTGGTTTAGACCTGGTTTAGACCTGGTTTAGTCCTGGTTTAGACCTAGTTTAGACTTGGTTTAGTCCTGGTTTAGACCTGGTTTAGTTCTGGTTTGGACCTGAAACAGACTGGTTTAGTCCTGTTTAGACCTAGTTTTAGACCTGGTTTAGTCCTGGTTTAGACCTGGTTTAGTCCTGGTTTAGACCTAGTTTTAGACCTTGGTTTAGTCCTGGTTTAGGACCTGAAACAGACCTGATATAGTCCAGGTTTAGACCTGGTTTAGACCTAGTATAGAACTGGATTAGACCTGGTTGAGACCTGGTTTAAACCTGATATAATTCTATTTTAGCCTTAGTTTAGTCCTGGTTTATCTCTAGTTTAGACCTGGTTTAGTCCTCATTTAGTCCTGGTTTAGACCTGGTTTAAAAATTTGACCATAGACCAGAAATAGACCCAATGTAGTCCTGGATTAATAATTTTTAAAAAATTTTTAATGTAAAATTTTGTTATGTTTTCACTGTCTGAAAAAAGAAAATCTGGATTATGGAACATTTCAGGCAAAACAGAAAAATCTCTGTGGAAAAATCAGGTGCAGCTTTTAAAAACAGTTGAATTAAAATGTGTTTGTTTGGAACGTTGCCATTTTTGTTGTTTGTGGTTTAGGTCTGGTTTAGTCTAGTCCTCATTTGCATTGGCCTGGGTTAGTCCTGGTTTGGTCCTGGTTGGGTCCTGGATTGGTCCTGGATTGATCCTGGTTTGGTCCTGGATTGATCCTGGTTTGGTGAGAGTTTGGTCCTGGTTTGGTCCTAGTTGGTAATTGATCCTGGTTTGGTCCTGGTTTGGTCCTAGTTTAATCCTGGTTTAATCCTGGTTTGATCTTGTCTTGATCTTGTCTTGATCCTGGATTGATCCTGGTTTTCTCCTGGCTTGGTCTTGGTTTGGTCCTAGTTTGATCCTGGTTTGATCCTGGCTTGAGCCCAGTTTAGTCCTGAGGTACTCTTACTTTGGTCCTGTTCAAGTCCTGGCTTAGTCCTGGTCTAAATCCTCTTTTAAACCAGATTCTGTCCGGGCTTGTATAGATTTTGTTTACACAGCTTTGTTTAGCCCTGTTTGACTCTAGTCCAGGTTTTAGTCTGGTTTGAGTCCAGGTTTTAGTCTGGTTTTAGTCCGGGTTTTAGTCTGTTTTTTTAGTCCGGTTTTAGTCTGGCTTTAGTCTGGTTTAAGTTTGGTTTTAGTCTGGTTTGGGTCCAGGTTTTAGTCCAAGTTTTAGTCCAGGTTTGAGTCTGTTTTTTGTTTGGTTTGAGTCCTGGTTTGAGTCCTGGTTTTAGTCCAGATTTTTGTCTGGTTTTAGTCCGGTTTTTAGTCCGGGTTTTAGTCCACGTTTGAGTCTGGTCTGAGTCTCCTTTGAGTCTGGTTTTAGTCCGGTTTTAGCACAGTTTTCGTCCGGTTTTAGTCTGGTTTTAGTTCGGTTTTCGTCTGGTTTTAGTCCAGGTTTTAATTTGGTTTTAGTCCGGTTTTTGTCCTGGTTTTAGTCTGGTTTTAGTCTGGTTTTTAGTCTGGTTTTAGTCCTGGTTTTAGTCTGGTTTTAGTCTGGTTTTTAGTCTGTTTTTAGTCTGGTTTTAGTCCTGGTGTTAGTCTGGTTTTAGTCTGGTTTTAGTCCTGGTTTTAGTCTGGTTTTAGTCCAGTTTTAGTCTGGTTTTAGCCCTGGTTTTAGTCCGGTTTTAGTCTGGTTTTAGGCCTGGTTTTAGTCCGGTTTTAGTCTGGTTTTAGCCCTGGTTTTAGTCCGATTTTAGTCTGGTTTTAGTCTGGTTTTAGCCCTGGTTTTAGTCCTGGTTTTAGTCCTGGTGTTAGTCTGGTTTTAGTCCTGGTTTTAGTCTGGTTTTAGCCCTGGTTTTAGTCTGGTTTTAGTCCAGTTTTATTCCAGTTTTAGTCCGGTTTTAGTCCGGTTTTAGTCCGGTTTTAGTCTGGTCTTGGGTCTCTTTTACCTCTTTGCTTTGGTTCGTACAAACATAATTACACTTTGTACTTTTTGTGTTTCTATTTCTGTAAATCTGTTTTCTCAGTGTCTGATTTCTCGTCCGCTCTGGTGTTGAGTTTCTCTCTTTTGACTCTCGGAGTAGAATATCCTGAAGATAACATTTATCTGGAACATTCTGTTGTTTTTTTTGTCCAACGTGTCCAACTGGGCTTTACGTTAAGATCACACAACAACAAGTCTGTTTTATTGTTTTTGGAATAATTTGGTTCTTGTGATGTTCTTTGCAGTGATGTCGGACTAGGGGTGTATATGTTTGTATTTCTACTGATGG